TAATAAAAACAAAAGTTTTATTTGATTTTTTAACAGTTTTTGTGTACAACAGCTAAGACTGAAAACAGTCAATTTTCAGTCTTAGCTGTTGTACACACATAATACATCAAGAGCTGTCCATCAATGATTACTATCTTACTTTATGCACCTTTGATCAGTAGCGCCATCTGTAAAAGTAATATTAATGTTGTTGATTTATAGAAGTTTAAAATTCATTGTTTTAATATGTACAATAATATAACTAGCTAAGACTAAGTAGTAGATAATAGTAAACTATTCGCTATTATGACTGTGGTTATTTGAGTTTTGAGACAGAAAATAGAACCTATGTCAACAGTGGTTTTATGAATGGCAACCTCCGTAGCCGAGTGATTCACACACCAGTTTCAAGGTTTTATCATCTCTAAGGTTCCAGGTTCGACTCTCGGTTGGGTCAATGTAAAAATTAACTGTTTTACATTGTCTTGAGTCTGGTAATTGTGGTAACGATACAATTCCAGCTAAAATAGAACTGGAATTGTATCGTATGTCACTTTGTAGAATAGGAAATCCATTAAAAACTGTAGTTTCGTTCGGTTTCGATCCGTTTTCGATCAGTTTTCGATTTGATTTAAACAAAATTTATTTAGTAGAATTGGCCCCCTGGACCATCAAATTGCCTTACATTTGCTGTCACCAACTATACTCGTAGAATACTAAAATTCCATCATAAATTGATGTTAATAGGTATAAATTTGTAAATTTTCTATAAGTCCATAAAAGTCTCGACCTGCTTGGTTTATTACAAAGTTTTTACGATTTTATTAAAAAAATAATAATTTAGGAACGAATTTCAGTATTCTATATTATTATTATTTCATATTTGGCTACTTCCCTTTATTAGGAGCGAAGTTTAGTTTCACACTTGAATTGTATAACTGAGCATTATTATTATAACGTACGTTTTACATACGTTTGTCGATTTCTTTAGAGTCATTCGAAATTTTCGTAAACTCGAAAACAAGGTGTGAATTCCCATTTAACTTTGTTAAATAGTAAAAACTAGGTACTACTACCGGACCATTTGAATTTTTACCAACAACTGTTTATTTAGTAGAAGGGGAGACACTTGACTCTAACAATTAGCTCTTTAAAGATTAATAACTGACTAACGAGTTACTTAATAGAAAAATGTTTTTACAAGACCTATCCAACGATGCCTCACATTATGGAGTATACAAAAAGGTTTCATCCTTACTTTACATGTTTTAACTTTACCAAAACTTTCAACGTAATTAACATGTATCAACCAAATTATAACTTTCTAATACCAATAGTTATTGAGCTCAGACGCGTGAGCGAAGTATGACACAGCGGAACTATAAGGGATCTTTGTTTACTACGGAACTCTAAAAATAATATACTTTACGAGGAGAAATTAAGATAAAACTTGGCGATAAGAATTTTCCTATCATAAAAAAATTATTAATTCACATTTCACTACAACTTTAACCCTTAGAAATGTGATATGGTTTTATCATTATTATTAAGATCTTATTTACGTTACTTACAGACGTTATATCTAAGTAAAAAACTTATTGAAAATTAGTAATTTAGGTGTTCGTACCCTCTTAAATTTGGATGCCACTATTAAAGTTACAGTTATATGATTTTACTAATCACCAGTACTCTAATTGAATATCATATCCTATGAAAACTCGCCTGCTCTCCGCTACCGTTCTCTGTTGACTAATTAGAACAGTTGCCTTATAATGCGGCATCACATTATTTAAAAAGAATTGATTACTGATAAGATCTAATAGGAATCTAGTTGGGAAAAGTTTCTAATAAGAATAGACGTGTTAATTTTAGATTCTCCTCGCATATCAAGAGAGTCTTCGATAAATTATTACTTTTTTTTCTGACTACGGCGAAACGGAAAGGAGGTTTGTGATTTTGGCCAGTATGTTTATAACAATATTCATCTGTTACCTTATAACGTCGAAACTACTCATCGTAACTGGACATATGAGGTATCTTTAGAAGCGTATGAATTATTCACGCGCGACATTACAATTGATAACAGCGCTCTCTAGAGAGTATAAAGTAAAAAACAAAAAAAAATTGTTATGTGTTTAATCATTTCGTGTGTTGGTAGAATTTGCTTGGGATTTTACTTAAATATTCCCGAAAATTAATCAATTAAAAAAATAAGTTCAAAAACTAATACCCGACGACAAGTAATTCACGTTCTAAATAGTTTGAAACAAGAAATTTATTTTATATCCATGGCTATATTATAATAGCAATGACCAAAGGACAGCTTAGTCGAATGCCACAACAGTTTGTTTTGTTATCATCAGTGGCATACGACTACGCTGTCCTTTGGTCAACGCTATTATAATAAAGCAATTTTCTTTTTTAAACTTTCTAGCGTGATTTAGCTGTAGTCGGGTATTAGTTTTTGAACTTATTTTTTTACTATTCTTAAAAACAAAATAGTCAATAACTAAGTATGCGAAGTTTTTCAAAATGACTGTCTTATTATAGTTACACAAAGCCTAATATTTTTATCACTGTCACTCAGCAGAATAACTGAAAATAAATATAACGAGATGTCTTATTATCGTCTCAAGATGGCGTCACATCATAGCCTCTAGTATAATAATGTTTATTTATTTCATTAAAAGACAATAAATCTCACTGTATCTATGGCGCAATGGCAGCTTAAGCATAGCTGCTGGTAGTTGAAATAGAAAGAAAAATTGTATGAGCTAAGTACCAACGCCTCTTCTATGATATATAAAAAGTGAACATATCCAGTAAAGAATGCTTAGTTTTATTTTTTTCAATAAATTAATAGCTTAATTATATTTAAAATACTTGAAAAATGGTGTTTGTCTAGTTTATATGTACTACCCGTATGAATTAAACTGAATTTCAAATAAATGCATTCTTCGAGACTTTACTGCCTCCGATTCACCGATAATCTTCACAAATGTGGGTTTAACAAAATTATAGGGCCAACTCGAAATTTTCCTGATATTCGAGAACAATTAGAACAGGCCTTCAGTTGTCATGTTAACTCGAACGAATAACTCATTTTGATTAATATATATGCTATAATTTAAAGAGGTAAAGACATTCTAAATTTGTTTATTTGTTTGCTTGGGTTAATCTTCGGAAATACTGATACAATCATGTGAATTCTCTTATTTACGGGAAGCTACATCATACGCGGGTGACATAGGCTATACTTTACGCGGATGAAGTCCCGGGAAATCAGTAAGTTTAAAATTTTTACAAATCATTTATGATTTTATGAAATTATAATTAATCATCGATGTATACGTGTGTACTTACGAGCAAAGATCTGTACAGCCACATAACGCACTACATTAATAAAGAAATGTATACGAGAGATGAGAGTTGTTAAGTAATCTTCGTGGCCGGTCATAGGATGGATAGACTTATTATTTCGACTTCCTCCGTGCTTCGGAAGGCACGTTAAGGCGTCGGTTCCGTATTCATCTGCATTCGTTAGTATCCACTGGGCACTGGGCCTGTGTTGGAGGGTCACGGTTCATTCGCTCTATTCGATTTGATTTCATCCATAGGCAATGCCTAAGCCCCAGCAGAAGGGACATTAATAGGTTGATGATGAGGATACGACAGATGACATATCCTATAACACACTTCGATTAGGATTTGAGTAAGTAAGTAAATTAATACGAAAAAAAAATTAAACGACGAAGTAACCAAACCTTACACCCACCATCATCATCAGCCCTTTTACGTCCCCACTGCAGGGGCTCAGGCCTTCCTAATGAATGGTTAAGGAGGATGGGCCATGACCCTCCACGCTGGCCCAATGCGGATTGGAGGGTATTAACGACTGCAAATGCTGCTGGAACCAACGGCTTAACGTAACTTATAATTTATTTGTCATCCATTCTATTGAGCCTACCACACGTGCATGCTTGACCACAGTTTTACTTGCGCATGCCGGCTTGTACACTGAACACTGTGCGTGTAGTTGGTAAAATGGTAGCTTTCGCAAACCCTAAAGCTTGGCTGGATGGATTTTAAGACCGACCCTTGCGAAAATTGTTTGACTACAACGATCGCGGGCCGCGGCAATTATCCATTACGCCACAGCTCCGAGATCAAAATGAACTGCAGATTTTAACATGTCGTAGTAACCTGTCGTGCAACTTTGTGTACTATCTTCCACAAGTCCATTAATATAAGTGCTTTATCTTCTTCATAAATCAATGGTGACAGATATAAATTATCGCTATCGATGCGCTATAATAACGTTCACTACTCGTACGAATTAACCACGACTCCTGAAGACCTATTCTCCGGAAACGAAATTTCGTCTATTGTTATTTAATGAAACAATAATGTTATTGTCTCTTTCATACCATAATTTGTCATAAAATTTATAAGTATATTCCCATATAACGACTGGAAGAGCGGTGGCCTCCCGATACAGGTATTATATGTACTTAAAAGGAAGCACACCATGATGTACTTTATTGTAAAATGTGGAGAGATAATAAAAGTATTATTATTATTATTTGTAGTCGTTAATACCCTCCACTCCGCATTGGGTCAGCGTGGATTGTTATGGCCCATCCTCTTTAACCATTTATAGGGAAGGCCTGAGACCCTGCAATGAGTACGTAACAGGACTGATGATAACGTCGATTTGAATTTCTATCTTCAAAACATTTGTGTAATCTAACATGGTGTTGACCGTATTTTGGCAAAACGCCTTTGGGATGAGATTATTATGTTAACATTAGCCGAATTGAGGCTTTAAAATTGTCTACATAACTAGTAATTCCGAAGCAGGAGGATCTATCTCACTTTAATTTATTGTCCATCCATCAAAAATTATAGTTTTAGGTATATTATACAGATTGAGTTCATTCTCAGTCTATTAACGACCTCACTGCTAGGGTAAAGATCATCCCTACGGATGGAACCGAACTGAGTGGGGATAGATAAGTACGGTAGCAGTGAATATGTCGAATATCCAATAGTACCGTATCTATCCTTTTGAGGATATATAACATTACACCGTTAGTTAATAAGGTACATTAAAACAAAGTTTTGATTAACAAATCGTGGATATTTATTGAAATAAAAATAATAAAAATTAAAATAATAAAAACAGTTCATCTTTCACGTAGTGACACAATAAAATTTGTCTTAAAGTTTTTTTTGTTTTGCTATTTTGTCTTCATCCGTCGTCCCTGTCTTACGTATATATATACTTTTTTATTTAATAAATTTACTATCTGTGCAATTTTTTTTATCGAAATAAAAAAAGAGACGTTACAACGAATCACGACAATTAATTCATCTCATAACAATCATATCTATTTCACATTTTTTTTACATTAAGTGATGGCGAATGTACAAGTGGATAGTGATATGAGTTAAGTTACAAATTGATGTTCTATATTATATCGAAGTGTATATTATGCCGACAAGTCGTTTCAATCTATTCCAAACTGGCTCATTGGCGACGATAATTCTACATTTATGGCATTTAAATAAAACGGATAAGATGACATTTGTTTCCACACAGCATTTTCGTAATTGAAATGCCATAAACACTAGAATTAATTCCACAACTTTAGGTCTTGTTCGAGCGAAATAAAGCTTAAAATTATTTCTATGTTTACATCGCTCGTAGAAGCCCTAATGTTATAACATCATTGAATCCGAGACCGATGGACGACAGAATGCTGATATTATAATTTACTTATAATGATCTAATATAAACTCTATCCGTAATTTACATTAAGTACGTATACTGAACGATTTCACGTTTGGACTAAGGTACGAGTGAATTTACTTCCACGAATACAGAATCACATGAAAACAAAAATTCAAAACAAAACTGGAATATTATTTTTCAGTCTTAAAACATAACTAGCTTTTTTTCGTATGAAACAAAAGCATAGAAATGAGGATCGAAAGTGTCGCAAGATTTAATAATAATAATAATATATTTTTCATTAAATAATTTAAACATTAATTAATTACTATGGAAATACGCTCACCTTTAGATCGATTCCAATTTTGCTTTCTACAATGCTTAATTAATTATCGATTACAGGAAACACACCGTTTTTCCGTTTGTTTATTTTTTAAATAATTTGTGAAACATTGTTTATAAATATGAACATCAATAGGTAGGTACTCGATTTACACAATACACTTAATTACAACTTACTATATACAAAAGATCATTAACTAAGATAGGAAACATTTTTGCTTATTTTAATGTATTGTACATAATAATCTAAAATTACGAAACAACTTTATTGAAAACACATACTACATCGAACTACATAGACCTTAAAATTATTGGAAAAAATCTATATTAATTGACACTATACAACTTAATAACTAAATCCTGTTAAATCAACATAGCTAACTTTGGCATTGGTTTCCACATTTTTTTTTTTCTATAAATAAAAAACATGTCAAAACAATATCGAAATAGTAACGTAGGGCAGCTCACAAAATACAGCCACGAAAAACAAAAAACTTTTAACCTAACGTCAACAATAAAATGGAACCGCAACTATTTCGGCACAGAAAAGATATGTTAAAATAATGCCCTTCGGTGCAAACGTATTTTGGGCTCGTATTGCAATAGTCGAACGACCACCAATTAAATCTTAAGACTAGAAGTTGAACAAAGTACGACCTGTCACAAGCGAATCGCGCGGGGTGATCGTCATCGCGACGAAATTAATTGCTAAATTCATTAGGCCTTAGAAGATCTGGCTGGGCGGCGCGGGCGGTGGCAGTCGGAGACCACCCCACGGGTAGAGTCACGATGCCTCATCGCGGCAGGCGTTAGAGTCATCGGATAATGCTAAAGCAGCACCATTACTTTGATTCACAACACACTTACGCATGTGCTTCTCCAATGTCGACGGAACGGAGAAGGGCATTTCGCAAAACCGACAACGGTACACGTCCTTACCTAACCTCCCGTGCGTTTTCATGTGACGCGTCAGTTTTGAGCTTTGCGCGCACGCGTACGAACACAATTCGCATTTATAAGGCTTCTCCCCGGTATGAGAACGTCTATGCACAGTTAAATTTGAGCAGTTCTTGAAAACTTTGCCGCAAAATTCACAAGTGTCATTACGTCTCCCATCCTTTGACTTCAACAACGGATTCTGAAGTAAACCATTGCTGCTGTTTTTTAAACCATCGAAAATATTTTCTGGCGGCCTTTGTGCATGGAGCGTCGGGAGCCACCAGCCTTCCCCCCGATCCATATCTAATTTCATTCGTTTAGAAGCTTCGAAAGGGTTCTCGAAAGGGTTGAAGAGTGGATGAGGTTGAGGTGGCATTTTAGCAAATTCTTCTTTTAACCGTAAAGCGGCTGGTTGCATTCCATTTGGTTTCTCACTCGGGGCATTATTATTATCTCGATCTTTTGCTAATTGCCAATTCAATGATTTTCCAGATTCTTGTAAAGCTTGTTTGAATGCTTCGCTATATTGAGCTATATTTGAAAGACCAAATTTGTCCATTAATTCACCAACTACAGAAGCTGTCGGAGGATGGGCTGGTAAGGCCGGTGTTTGTTTTCGAGTCGGTGCTGAGGGAACACTACTATTGGATACTGTTAAATCCTCAGCCTCTTCGACATCATCGCCATCTTCGTTTTCCTCTTCCTCTTCACCGTCAAGTTCTTCATCCTCTAACTCATCGTCAGAGTCATCTTCAGCAGTATCGCCACCAGATTCACCTTCTTCAGATTTCACATCGGGACCTCGATGTACTTTCATGTGTTTTTTTAATTTTGATGCCTTCTCAAAAGCCTCATCACATTCTGTACACTTAAAAGGTTTCTCCCCAGTATGAGATCGCCTATGTACGATCAAGTTATTTTCAAATCTAAATTTCTTTCCGCAGAACTCGCAAGAGTGGATCCCTTCATCGTTGTTGCGTTTGGCGGGTGGGGTTGATGACGGTCGCTCAGGAGGTGGTGCGTCGGCCGCCATCGGCTCAATACGTCGTTCTGGGGATGTCGAAGTGTGTGGCCTGATTGCCTCGCGAGGGGTGTCCACCGTTCCGGGTCCGGCGCCCGCCGGTGGAGTTTGTCCAACTCGGGAGGGCGACGGGGAAGCGAACGGCGGCGAATGCTTCCTGGGGCTAGGAGAGCTGGAATTGCCTGTGGCCGCCCCTGGACTGGTCGTACCGGCCAGTTGCCGCAAGCGCTGCGAGTAAAAATCCAGCTGGGGTTCAAGTGAGAGGGGTTGTGATACTGGTGGTGCTCTATCGCGACTTGACACCGAAGTGGGTATAACGGGAGGTCGATCGGCTGGTGATGGGAATGTTTGGTGAGGCGGTAGAGAGTTTGCCGCAACAGCAGCCGCTGCGGCTGCTAGATTGAGGCCATGGTGTCGGAATTGTTCTGACACTAATTGTTCCATTCTAAACCTGTGATCGTGATGGTTCGGCCGCGCAAATAGTGGTGCTGGTGGCACTGAAGGATGAGCTAAGGGTGGTAGACTACCTGGAAGTGGCATTCTTAGTAAACCACCCACACCGAATGGCGAGTGCATGTCAGGTGGTGGTAGTAACGGATGATGACGTAAAGAAGGAGGTGGGAGTGGCGCACCACTGGACGAACACCCGGAACTCGTCGATGACGTACTCGACGTCGAGTGGTTTTGTTTGCTAGGCTGTTGTTGTGGGAGTGTTTCCACATAGATTTTCACGCCATGGACATGTTGGACGTGCTGCAGTAGCCTCCACGCAGAGTGAACACGGGCTTTGCACGTTGAACACACGTAGTTGCTCGGTTCTACGGACAAGGAGAAAAATAATATTAGAGATAATGTATATCTACTTAACCGATTCCCGATGGAAGATTTACAGCAATATTAACACTGGCAAAGTGTCTAGTAATAGCTCTCACATATCGTAGTGTTGGGCCTAGGGTTGGCGCGCGGGCCGCATGCTAAGTAGGCGAGGTCCAAGGGTTCGCTCGTCGGTGACTGATCGCCCTTGCGTGTCCCGCGTGATTCATGCACCTCCGAAATCTTATGAAATATACGCGAAGTGGGATCACGTACGCACGCGCGGGTTAAGACTGTTGATATTGAAATCTATATATGTAACGTATACCGGTGCTGGGGTAACTAAAGAATTTCTCGTTTGTTTTGTAACTTTACACGGCATAAGTGCGACGCGTGTTTACAACTTGACAATAAAATTAATTCTATTTCTTATAATCAGAGAGTCTATCCATGTCGCTTACTCATGTTCTCTGAGATAAGAAGTTATATACTTTGATGTACTTAATTCTGAAAGTTTGTTCTGAGAATACATAAAAATACTAAATTAATATAAAAAGCAATCCAAACTGATTTCAAAACACACCTGAAACTACTGTTGGTACTTAGAAACTTGAATTCCGATACCAAGGTTTAATGATAGTGAGCACTAAGTAAGGATTTCTAGGAATTCAACTCCTAAGTGGGTGATATAGGAGGGTGAAGTTTATATGGACCACGTGGGCGAAACCGCTGGCCGAAAACTAGCATTAAATACGTCGGACACTGACGTCATAAGTCTTTGTTAGCTAATTTCAATGGTAGCATATCTATTTTGTTTTATAATAGCGTTTTGATTTAAAGAGGTTGATTGTTGGCCTATTCTTAAGTCGTGTTCGGGATGATATAAGCGGCATGGTCAACGGCGCGCCTCTACTTGAAAGCCGTCGTATGTTGATGGCTCATTGTGATACAAACGCATTTTATTAAGGAGACAATCGCGAGCTTGGCAAGCTTAGTGATGTTGATATAATCTAATATTGTCGATAAAATTACGATTAGAAAATTTATTACGTTAAGCAAAATAATTAAAGATTAATAAATATGAATAGATTTTAGTTATTATTGTTTGTATTCACAAATGGCTATCAGAGTTATTTAGTTGAGTAGTTTTTTTTTAATAAAGTTAGATTCTTTTGTAGTTGATAAATATATTTTAGTGCATATTTATAATACTAGACATTAATTATTACTGTTGAACAACATTTAGGTATACGTATTATTGTCAAAAAAATATCTAAAACTCTACATAGTGAATAGTTCAACTTGGTATTATAATATTTTCACATAAATAAGTTATAATGTTACTTAGTTAATATACATCAATTAAGTATAACCCAAAACTTTCCACTTAAGTGTGTAATCATTATTTTCATTAGTATTAACAAAAAACCAAATACCTATTTACTAACATGAAAATCTTGAACTCACTACCAATGATCGAGTATAATTTTTTATCAATCAAAAGTGAAAAAAAATTACGGTCGACGTTTAGCGCATCACTAGTGGGCGCGGCCGATAAGCGATCTCGGCTGTTAAGACGATTATTGAATTGTAACGGTCAGATTGTGACCGACCGGAAAGGAGTCTACTACAGGATGATGTTTTACAGGATTAATTTATGTTTCAGCTTTGTAAACTTACTAACTTTTTAGATATGTCGTGAGATATCGAGTTTCATAGTGTAATATCGTACGGAATCTTGTTGTGAGGAAATACTGCCGATATACAAACGATTTTTGTGCTTAAAAAAAAGGTAGTAGATCAACTTATAATCTTATGAGTAGGGACTCTTTAAGGAAAAAAAAAATTACCATAAAGACTATTGTGTTCGTAAAAACATTAGCTTGTTTTCTATTAAAAGTGATATACACTACAAAAAGTTAATAATTTATTCAGGGGTCTTTGTGTGCGCTTCTACAATAAGATCCCAGGCAAAATACAACAATTAGATATTGTGCAGTTGAAATCTACTATCAAACACATACTAAATAGGAAGGCTTAGATATTATTATAATTATATAACAGATAAGAATGCTGGACTTCAGATTTGTACAGCAACTGTATAGGTCATTTCTTCTAAACTCAATCAATCATTATTATCATTATAAGATTATAGTTCTTTTTCTCTATTTAATATTATTATTAGTTCTATTTCTCTAGTAAAAATTAAAAGTTTATATGTATGATAAAGCTATGAAATTTTGCACTTCCATCATAATCCTAATTTGAAGTTGCAAAATTACAAAACTTACACTGACAATAGTGAGTCACACAAGTGAGCATATAATGAAATTTAACTTAAAATAATAGAACACATTAATGTCATATTTGGATGTAACTGTATGTATGCATACATTCCATCATACCCATAGGTAGGGGACGGGTGCTTGACTTGATTATATTTGATAAATTTTATACAAAATGTTATACTAGAAAATATTCCTAATAAAAATAATTTAATATCCATTTGTCCCTGGTACTATGAAATATGGAGTCGAAAGTTTAATATATTTGTGAAAATATTTATAGTTACTTGGATGGATTGCCTAAACATTGATGAAAATACGCTCTGTAGTAGCGAGAAAGTAACAAGTGCTTGAAAAATTCGTGAGTCCTGTTAGGTTCTGGTAGTTGAATGGTGAGAGCAGTCACCCGTATCGCGAAAGGTCAAAGAGTACCAGGAACAAAGTGGATTTTTTTCCAAAGCATTTTTCATTAATAATATACAATATCATGTAAATTAAAAACAACCTGTAGATACATTCTACATGATATCAATATTGTGACCTTTTTGTCCAGAGCATTGTTCATTGTGTTACATTTTGGTCATCACAACTCGTAGTGGTAACAAAAAAAAATAAGTATTCAAACTTTTTGTTTTCTTAAAAGTTAGAAATCTAGAAATTATAATATTTTAAATTGAGAGAAACGAATAGTACGAAGTTTTTTTTTTATAATTTTCAAATCGCGCAAGTACTAAAATGTTTTGCGATATAAATTAAGCTTCCTTAAAAATTTGATATTAAACCTCATTTTACGTAAAATCATAAAGAAAAAGTTTTTTCTCTTTATTTCTTTTTCGAACCATACTGCTATGACACATGGTCGTCAAAAAAATTGGTAGCGGTACATCGACTTACATCGATTGATAAAGGATTAACAGATTCCGATGCGAGTAATTTTGATACGCCGATATTATCGGGCTACCGTGTGTGGTCGTATTAGAAAAAAAGGGAGTAACACATGATCTATTTATTTCATACACTTTCTCGAAATGAAGTTTATCCATGTTGAACGAACCAACTTGGTCTCATTATATCAGCTAATTATATGTAAATCAAATAACTTAAAAAGGAACTGGAGAGTTAGTTAACAAATTTAAGATTTGAATATTATTTTTGAATTTGCTTTTACTTTTTTGTTAACTATGCATTAGTGTAATTTTATTACAAAGACCACACCTGTGTGGAAATCTTCTGAATTCTAATAAAAAGTAGTACCTATTTGGATTTTTTTTTTGAGAATAGTTCAGCAAATAGGTTTGTACAGTTTAAGGGAACAAAACAAAAAGTTTAATAACCGTTTCAATTTCAAAAGGCAATCGTTGATTATCGGCCATTGTGCGGCGAGCAGTGGGGGTGAAATTTTTAAACACCACCCGTCTGGACCCCTACCCCCTTAGGGGGGGGCGTATCCGTTATTTGCGGACAACGTGGTCGAGGGACTTTATTGTGTGTCTGAGATTTTCTCCTTTCGAATATGCTTTCGCGTCATGTAACAAAATTCCTTTTACAAAACTCTAATAAAATTAAAAATATCTGTGTCACGATGTTGATAAAATGTATTTTCACACATTTTAACGAGATTCAAATCGAAGAAATTATTACGACTAGATTATCATTCAACTTGAATTGAAACGAAATGTAGAACAAACGTCTTGTAAGAGGTCACTGCATATTACTCTTAATATAACATATTTTCACAATTTCTAAGCTTTTTTTTTTGTGTCAATATGAATTTAACGCACCTTACTAGATCTTATATTTTAATGGAAGCTATTTACCGTTAATATAAATTAATTCAAGACATTTTGGATATTTTCAAATATTTAAAAGTTATATTTAAAACAAATTTTTTACAACTCAATTTTTTTTTATTTCCAGTTATCTAATTACAATATGACTAAGTTTGTGTTTTTTTAATTTTTTAATAAATATAGAGGTATTTATTACTTTATAATAAATATTCAGAACTTATATGAGACAAAAAAAAACAAAATTTAAAAAGCTAAGAGCTTAAAGTCGCTACTGAAAATATAAAACTTGTGCGCGATACAGTATCTCTGGACCGGAGGTAGACGGCGCTGCTTCCGGTGACAACTGTTTTAGCACCTCAGCGCCTCTCGCGGATACCTTTAGAAACTACAAGTAGTTCCTCGCTACGTACTTTAATCTGAATAGAAGCTAAAACGTAGTCAAAAGTTTCACATTTATAAAGAACCCCACTTGTAATGTTGTCGTCATTTGCATTTAGAATATTATGGATATTTTGTGTGAGATTTAAAAATTAATAACACTTGTAAAGTCTCGTAAAGTCATAAAAACATTTTTATTTATATTTTTAAAAACAACAATTCGCCGCTTATTAAGTTAGATTTTTAATGTAACTTACAAATCACTTAGAACATTATTATATTTGATTAATTTTAAAATGCTTTACTTAAAAATATTTAAAAAATTCACTTTGTCCCTATCACTCTGAGATGGGACCCGAACCCATGAAAACATAAACTAGGAAAAATAATTGAAAATTGGTTAAAAGTAAACTTAGTCTCGGTTGCACCATAAATATAGATAAAGTTAAGGTTTATGTCAAATTTGACAATATCTGTCACGCTGACTTTAACATTGACTATGGAATGCGTTGCACAATCCTTTTTCTTGGCATAGTAAAACAATAACTAACC